CCTGTATGTGGAAGATCCAAATTTTGATGAGTCGGTATCATGGCAAAACCTCCACCATGGAGCATTGAGGAACGGTGCATAACAAGGTGATTAAAAAGCACAAACTTGGTTACAAGAAAATGTAACCCCTCCATGTCACGTAACATGCCTTAGGAGCACAGCTACTGTTTAACTGTAGCTGAGAGGTTTTGTAGCCACTGTAGGAAACGCTGTGAGACAAGGATCTGCACATCGCATCCAACCCAGTAACAAGCAGGCTCCCAGGACTAGTGAATGGACGAATGGGTTTTGTGTGTGTGTGTGTGTGTGTGTGTGTGTGTGTGTGTGTGTGTGTGTGTTGAGGAATATAATTAGGTTTATTGTGCTTAGTTTCTGTCTGAATGTTTTTATTCAGTAGCTAAAATACATCTTCTGTAACCACAAGGGTTTTTACATATTCAAGGATGAAGCAGGACATCAGGTGAACGTTATTTTGATTTATTCACTTGAAATATTTATGCAGTAGCTTAATTATACTGCATCAAAATTTAGGGGACTGTCCTCCCAAGAAAACAACAGCATTAGTTGTTGTAGAAAATGCCCAATAACAACATAAGTTTACATTCAAGTGACAAAGCCCACTGACAACCATTGTCCATAGTAAAAGAGGAAGTAGTGTGACGTTGATATACAGTAATGTCACACAGTCAACAGACACAGGCAGGCAGCCGTGGTTTGTTTCCTTTTGTTACCAGCAATTGTTCTTCTTCATAATGTTCTGTCACTTCATCTGGAGGATTTGTTGTAATTTATCAACTTCATCCTAATAAATTTATGTAGCTCAAAGTTTTAAGTCCTGCACAAACTTTCTTCTGTCTTTCAAAAGAGTTAGATGCTTTGTTTAATTTTTTAAAACTTAAATTTCCCTTCTCCACCCAAAGGGAAAGCCAACCCTGGAGTGCGCTAGAGGCAAAAGAGAAACAAAAGAAGAGCATAATAATTTGTAATGTGTTGTTTTTTTTTAAGTGACTTAATGTCCTCAATGCAAATATATGAAAAGTCGAGTATATTATTCAGTGTCTTGTCCCTATTTTGAAATGCAAATGTGAACTATTAATAATTTGTTCATTGCATACTGTATGTCTCTTCCTGGGTCCATTAGTAGAAGTGATGTAACCTGCAGCAATTCTCCTAAATCTGCATAAGACACATTTTATTTTGAATTATGTAGAATTATTTTTCCTCATTAGTAATGTGTTTTCAGTCATTTTTGTTAGACCTTTCAGCACTTGGCATGCATGCTGTTAAACCGCGGAGACTCCAGATAAATGTTTTAATTGTACTTTGTTACACTGCATTTTTCTTTTGATCATTTAATTCTGCTGATTAGGTACGGCTCCCATGGAGCCACATATTAATGTAGTTAGCACAGAGGAACTTGCAGCATGATTTCACAGAGACGGTAAGGTTGATAATGTTACAGAGAACAGTTAATCTTTGAATGTGCAGTAAATGTAATTTTCTAACTAGGGAGGTCTTAGATGGTGAGAGTCAGTAGAATTACTGGTGTGCCGCTAACAGACAGAACAACTGGAAACAAGGAACAAACATTGTTAACAGTCAGCCCAGCAGCAGAGCTGTCGGACTGTCAGGCGCCGCTCTGCAGCCAAAGCAGGCATGAGATTCCCACCAGCTTCTACCAAACTGCTATATCAGACAAACTATTAGCTACACAACCACAAAACATTAAAGTCTCAACAAAATAGGTGATAACCCTCAGAGGAGAAGAGGGATGGAAAGAAATGAATTTACTTATGAAGGCTTAGGGAAACTCAGTCATTAGCTCAATTGTAGTTCAGCGTGATCATGCTGTAACTTGGTCTGGTTTTACAAAGGAAAGCAGCGGTTATTTAGAAACGGAGCCTACAGCCACGCTTGTGGCTCAATGAGGCTGTAATGGTCAGCAAAAAGAAGTCATATTGAAAAGTTTAGGTTCAAGATTTGCTTTTAGAGGTAGCACTGTTGGTTCATTTCTACATCACTTTCATCCAGGATTTACAGATTTAGCACAGATTGCCATGAAATTTACAGACATTACCAACATTAATGGTGCCCAGAAGATGAATTCTACTGACTTTGGTGATCAGCTGACATTTCCTCTAGTGACCCAGTAAAGTTGATATTTGCAGTTGTGAGTGAAATGTCTCAAAAATTGGGACACACATTCATTTCCAAATGAAACCCAAAGGAACAGAAGTATGATTCCTCAAGAGATGTATGTATGTTCAAGTAACAAGTCTGAGTTCACATTTTAGTCTTTCCTCTAAGTTTGAGAAGTTGGCATTGGTAGAGGTTTGTGCTCTTGTGCCTTTTAGTTCCCACAACAGTCTCGCAGTGTACAAAGCAGATAAACTTTGGTCTACAAACATGTCTTTGGCAAAGGGTGAAAAGTTTGTACTGTACAAAGAGACAAGAAACAAGCACAGCTGTTTCCACTTGACGATGGTTGAGGAAACAAGTATCATAGGACCTCATTATCCTGCTTCCTCAGAGAGAGAGAGAGAGGCTTATCAACAAGTTGACTCTGAAGGTGTGGGACAGTTAAACTGAACCATAGGTTTGATGAAGTGAGATACTCATCAGGAGTTAGCATCTCATCTCTCTGGGCACTCTGGTACTTCAGTAAAGTGATATATAGGATGAAGCAGATGGATGGACTTTGTCTCCTTCTCTCCTGGGTCCCTGCGCCTTAAGTGCAAAAAATGTGCCACAAAGGTTGTCATTTGACTCTCATTTAGTTGATGCCTATAGCGCACACTAAGCATGTTACACTACCATCAGAAAGAGTTACGGTACAGTGGCAGGGAGATGCTGATCCAGGTCAGTGGTAGTGGAAGAAGTACTCAGATCCTTTACTAATACAACAGTTTAAAATACTCCATTTGTTTTGCTGATCTGTGTTAAGGTGACGTTTACTGCACCACCACGCTTCGATAGTCATGGCAAGAATTGCACCCATTCAGGATCTTTATTAAAATGATTTAAGTCAAAGTCTTTATTTTTCATATGCACAGTTAGGAAACGTGTTTCCCTGTACAATTAAATTCTTACTTTGCTGTCCACATGAATGCCACATAATACAAGTGAAATATAAAGTAGATGAGCAATAACATCTAAATAGGTAGTAAAACAAATCTAAAGCACTTTAAAGCAACAACAATTTAGTGATGAATCACCCTTGTACGTGAATCATATATCAGTGCTAGTCTAATTTTATGCATGATCCATGTTGATAAAGACATGGAAATACATGGCAAGTTAACATTTTCAATATTTTAGACTGAGAGCCCCCAAAATTTTGCAGTTCATGGTTTCTGGGGCGCTTATGTCTTATTAAGGGGAGCAGAGCTCCCTCTTAGTTCCTAGCCATTTCATAATCATGCTATTGCAACTGATGTCACACCACATCTCAGTTTTCCTTCCTTGGGGGTGGTCCTCTCTTCAGGATGTACAATTTGAGACCCTAAGGTGCTAAATGATTTGGTGGTAGATAATATTGAGTTAGGGCCCAGAGTGGCTGGCAGCTCCTTTTACATTCGGTCCCTTTAAGCTTTTTGTATTTGTGCAGTCACCTATTATGTAAATGTCACAACTCCTCTAAGGAAAATCACTGTTACCTGTTCAAGTAGCTCTGTTTTCTCTGTCAGGCTTTTCTTACCAAGGCCACACACTCTCAACATCCGCTGAGGTTTTACAGTGCTCATTTCACTTCTCTAAACTGACTCAACTGTAATTTGCAGTCGGTGCTCTGTTGTTATTGAGTTCTTGCTCTGTGTCTTTGCAAACTTCAGGCTGTACTGGATGGAGATGAAGAAACGGTAGCATTACAGATGACATTAGGGTTCACCAACATCTATACAGGTTCTTGTCTATGTTCAGAACTGACGTGAAAATCTTTACTTGGATGAATTTTTGTGTTTGGTGCACTGAGCCTGAAATAACCCACTAAAACTGCCATACTGATGCAAAAGTAGCTTACTGAGTAAAATTTTGAGCTTATCATCCTGTTGAGATAAAACCCCAAATCAGAAATGTTTGGGACAGTATTTAAAATCAAAATTAAAACTGAAACGAGTGATGTGTAAATCATCTGTGTCCTGTATTACATTGAAAACAATACAGCAGCACATTATCTGATGTGATATCGTTTCATTATTTGTTCAAAATAAACATTCATTTAAATTCTGATGTCTGCAACATATTCTAAATAAAGTTGGGACAGTAAAGTGTTTACCACAATGATGGTGATGTTGCCGCTCCTTTTCACAAAACTTATGATGTAGAATCAAAAATAATCTGTTCCAGTGCAGGAAGAATATAATTTTTGTCAGTTACTCAGGTAAAACAGCTTCTTTTCAGTTAAACTACGGTGGCGACCAGAAATAACAATGTCTTTCTCGCTTTTTTTTTTTAATGAAAGTCAATTCACTTTCACACAAAGAGTGTCTGTCATTTCCTGTTGCCATGTTTATTTATATGAGATGAATGAACATAGCCAGGAAAGTGATTAAAATTGTATTTTTCCTATACAGGACCAAATTATTTTTGATTCCACATCAATAGAAGAGGTCCCTGCAACTGTTGTCATTGTGTTATATGCTACTGCATCAGTGTAATGTGTACTCATTTAAAACCTCCAAATACGCAATTCCACCTTTTAATACAAAGCAACGTCTTCTTGACACATTCCCACTGTTCGTGAGCCACCAATTCACTCAGTTTGTACTCAGAACTCAATTTCCTGTCTTTGACATTCGAAAGGCTCTCCACTGGTGTTTGTTTCCTTTCCTCCTGGAGCCAAGTTGTCTTAGTCATTGCAGCTGGACTGAGTAACTCATCTGTCCCAGCCTGCAATTATCTCAACAAAGCTTCAGTTTTAACCCTGTTTATATGAAGAGTACATCCTTGGTCCATAGGCTCCATGAGACATTCTTCTGTCTTTTCTGCTTTGTGATTAACAGAGGCATGTGACAGCCCACTGGTGTCCAGTTTGCCGTCATCATCCTTCAGAAGCTCCTCCCAGCTTTCCAACAGCCATGGGCCATTCTTTGCTAAGGTCAACAGGAGAGAAGGTGAGAAATCACTGTTTCTTTTGTCCAGTGTCCAACTAAAATATTTTTTGTACTTGTACAACACTATTACTAGCACAAGTACTAAAAATATGACGATGCATTTCAAGACAAATTTATACAGTACCTAGGATGTTATCATAAATAATAAATGATTAGCATTTTGTCCAGGAGTGACTGTGGTGCATGACAAGGCTTCATTTAGTTGGTACAGAACATTGCACATGGGGAAATCCAAGTGTGTTAACTCTGAGTTCGAGTGCGTTTATTACCTAGAATTAATTGCCCGGATTGTATTAGCAGTAAAATCATCATATCATGATGTGTCCAGGTTTGTAGACAAAGTGCTGTCACTCAGTGCACTTTAAAAGGGTTTTGGCTGCCCATGCATACACCAGAATACCCACCAGAAATGTATTTGGGTAAACACCTTGATGAGGGGTGGGGCACAATCCTCTACTGCCATCATAACTTTATCTTTTGTCTCAGAAATTATAATCCACAATTTCATTTCCAAGAGGATGTTTCATGACACACTAAAACAAACAAACAAACAAAAAAACACTCCGTAGTTTTGCTACTGTACAGACAGATATTCTAGGAGGTAGTTTCGCTACTGTACAGACAGATATTCTAGGAGATTTCAGTCTCCTTTCCCATGGCTGCATGTTTCCTGTACATCTGTCCACATCTGTTCATTACATACAATTCAAAAAAACTCTCATCAGTTTAAATTTCTGTGGTGGAATGCAAACAGGAAAGGTTGCATGTCTCCTTGAACTAATTGTGAAAAGTGTTAAATGTAAGAGGCTCCTGTTATCTCAAGCTCTATGGTTACTACGCTACTCTGCCCTTTTCCCTCACAGCAGTGACCTTTTCCATTTTTCCACAGTGTGTTTGAAAACGTGGACAGTGAAGTTTTACCTTCTGTCACTTTCAACTTTATGCACTTGGTTAGTTGTTGACATCAGTGCTCAAAAAGCATTTTCAGGCCACTGAAATGTTAGGAGCAGAATGAGAACTGAACCACAGAAAAGCATGATGTCCCTCCACTGCACAGTATCTCACCTGTTTACTGAGACATTTTCAGTTCTGTGAGCTGCAGTGGTGCATTTTTCCCTTTGTGCAGGAGAGAGTCTCTGCCTCTCTACAGGACGCTGAGCACAAAACATCAAAGGCAAACATCAGCTCGATTCACAGAGACAGAGCGAGTGAGACAGAGATAAATACAAGATGGATGGATAGATAGATGGATAAATAGGAAGGTAGGTAGATAGGACAGCAGTTACTGCCAACAATCTGTATTATATATAGAAAGTCATTGGAATTATATTAGACTAGTACATCAAAAACTCTCCACAGGGCTGCCTCCTCTCAATTGGGGTGTAAATCTGAAAACCACAATAAAAATTCAAGAGGGAGCTCTCTGGATGCTGATGCAGAGCTTTGTGAAGGGCTTGTTTTGGAGCTTTTGTGATGGAAGGATTTCTCCGTTTACCGAGCTCAGTGGCCGACTGTGGTGCCAGTGCAGAGACTCATCGGGGAGTCTGGGATTTCTTTCTCTTTACTCCTACTCTTAGAACAATTTTACCAACTTGGAAGCAGATTGAAGATAAGCTAGCACAAGGGTTTTTTTTGTTTTTTTTACATAAGTCTGATTGTGAAGGCTGTGCAGTTTTTCTCAAACACATTCCAACACAATTTAGGAAACTATTATGAGAGAGGAAATGTTTTCCTTATTTCTTGGGTCTGTAGGCATTGTTGAAACAAAGCCAGTCACCCAGCTAGACCAGTTCCAGCAGCTTGCAGTATGTAGTATGACTTTGTGCAAGTTATATATTCAGTTCTGGATAGTTGTGACATTTTCTTGTGAACCTGCAAACATCTGCAACATCTTTGTTTTCTGAAGAAGCTGCAGCAATAGCGTGGTTTTCTTTTGCATCTAATTTTCCCAGCTGGTAAATTGTTCTGGATTCTGCATCAGTTACTGTACTTCACCTGGTATTTACCAAGGGAAGCCATCACTGACTCCCGCTTATAAGCAAGGACAGATAAACAGAGATAAGCGAAGCGACTGGTTCCATCAAAACGGTCGTTGTAACAGAGTAGAGTAATCTTTACTGGGAAGTGAGCAGCTGGGATGTCGAGGTTACGAACACTCCCATATGCATCCTTGGCTCTCAACGATCCCAGCTAGTGCCATTTTGACGGGGCAGCCCATATGTGGCTGTTCACACATGGTGACCAGTTAATCCCGTTTAGGCATCACAGTGCTACTTCCATGTTCTCTGTTTTGCCTTTCTGTACATGTACTAATGTATGATTGTATGCTAACTGGAGCTTCTAGCAATAGTTGGAAACAACAGCCCTGCACCGGTGAAAAGTGGAAGATTAATTAAGATGCTAAATGCCCTGACATTAATAACCAGTCCTTTCTTTCACTATCTTGGACTCCAAAAGAGATTGTAGTGAGTCCAGAGAGAGGAGCCTTGACATGAAATGTGGAAGGAGCCTTCTAACAGAAGACTGATTTAGTCCAAGGAGGCAGAAGAGTAGGACAAGCCCATGTTGAGCATTTGTTTTCTACAATAACATTCAATTCATATTAAATTAAAAGCAGCTTGTAGAATAACAAAGCTGCTGACCCACTGAAGATAAATCTGCCTTATGAGCCACCAAGCCAACAGAAGCAGTATAGTGTTCAGATTTCACTAGTTTATGGTGCAAAAGATCTGACCATGGTGTTAAATGTCCAGTCATAAAAACATGTTTATTTAATCAAGAAAGGTCAATTAGACTAACTGATATTGCTTCTACGTCACATCAGTCTATGGCACCTTAAAAGTGACAGCAAGACAGAAAAGAGCATTTACAGTACATGATATGGTGCCACTATGTTGTTAGCTTGGCGGCTCATTGCCTGTTGTTGTGCCTCAACTGTGCTGATTTAAAATACAAAGTATTGAGGCCAGTCATGCTAAAAAAATTCTGGTACAGTGGCAGCCTGGTTTTCACACACAAAAAAGGCACAGCATGTGCATGTACACTATAGATTAGCAGCAAGTGCTCTTTGACTTTTTTCCTGAAACTTCTTAGGTAGCAGTGGTGGGTCTGAGACAGAACAAGCGGGTCTGGTGGACCATGGGATAAAGACAAACACAGGGCTGTAGCACTGGAAGTAGTCATACTGCTCTTGTTATAAGCAAAGCCCGCCAGTCTTTGTTCTTTGTTTTGCTCCCTTCTCCTCTCAGTATCACCTTTAGTTGTTGTGTTCATAATCTATTACCTCTTGGTCTGGTCCTGCCTTGGCACTCTGTTGTTGTACTTCATGTAGAGTGTGGTCTCCTGCAATTGTAATTTTAATTCAGGCCCATTTGGGCTGCCAAGAAAACACTGAGATATCTTCATTCTGTCTCATAGCCAAATGTTAATGACAGCATTTAACATTTAAAGGCAAATGTTAATGGCTGTATTTAACATCTAAACAGTCTCCATGTTTCAGTGGGCCATACTGATAATTGCACATTAGAACCATTGTAATTATGCTGAAATAGGCCTGGAACACTTCATCAATCCCCAGTAATCATTTTATAGAGGTAGTAATTTCAATTTGAAAAGGGGATTTAAACGTTAGCAGGAGGCTGTAGGTTGAAATGATCTACGTGGAGGGAATCATAGAATCACATCGATCTATGTGCAATGTTTATGTGCCACCTCGGCCTCTTCAGGTGCCCATTTAAAGCTGCTCTTAAACATCTGGTAGAATTCCACAGCTCCTTTACTCAAATCCTCTTAATGGGAGGCGACAGTGGTGCAGTGGGTAGAGCAGTCATCTCCCAACCAGAAGGCTGAAGGTTTGAATCTCAGTGCCGGCAGTTCACATGTCGAAGTGTCCTTGGGCAAGACACTGAACCCTCCCGCTGAGTTGGCGCTGCAGATGGCTGCCATTGGTTCTGTACCGGAAACAAATTCCTTGTGTGTAACATACTTGGCCAATGAAGGTGATAAACGCCACCGCCTCAAGCAACAAGCCACAGCAACAAGTTTGATCTGGTTCAACTTTTGTCCCTTGTACGGAAGAAGAAAACTTGTTTACCATGTTAGCATAAACATTCACTGCTATTTGCTCTTGAATTTGGGCCACAGTTAATGCACCATAGCCACAAGCCAGGTGTTTTTGTTAGTATCGCATATTTAACAGTTTTTTTTTATCTATCAGTGCCGACACACTGATGGTAGGCTATGTTAGCATAATGGCTAACTAAAACACAACAGAAACTCACAGGCTGGAAACGTGAATAAAGTCATTTACTTACATGGACTCATCACAATGTGGCTGTATTGTATATGCCTACAACACAACCCCTCACCCTTAATCAACACAGCTCTTTGCATTGAAACACATCAGTGAGCTGTGTTATACAGGATTCAGTCAAATCATCCTCTTATCCTCTTACTTAACTACTTATTTTAACTTTATTTTCCTTGTTGATTTATGGTTCTTACTATACTGTCTGTGACCAACGTTCAGTAACATTAATGAAGTGTGATTTAAAAAAACAACTTTATTTATATCAAACATTTCAAACACAAAGGTAGTAAAAGGTGCTTTACAATAAACAGAAAAAAGAGAAAACAAAAAGTGACAATGAATCAAGAGAATAAGGAAAGGAGTCTGTCCTCCCTTGTGCTATTGAGTTTATTAGTTTGTATTTTAACATACATATATTATTTTTAAAAAATGATTAAACAATCTTCAGTTTATCATTTTTAAACTGTAGTCAGTGTTGACAAGATTTCGCATGACCTGTTTTACACTTTGCAGCCATATATTACTATAGCAAACAGTTTTGTCAGTTAACTACGCAACAGTTACTGGGTGTAAAACTCTACATGAGAACTGGTTTGTGACGTGCAAATCTAGACTTTTAAACTAGGCTATGTTTGAAGTTAGAGCAGGAGGAGCCGGTGTAACTGGCTCTAGCTGAGTGAGCGCCTGGTCT